ATTAATATTGAAAAAAAATTCTACAGTGCAGTATCCAAGAGGCAGTATTTGTTTTTCACACACAAATTCATGCATTTCCTGTGCTCTTCAGCGCTTTTAAGGCTGTGATTATGACTAATCACATTCAAATATATTCTGGACCTGGTAATATAATAAAGAAGTAATAACATAGCAACCACCTACACTACATTTAGGCTCTTCTCTCTACCCCTTTTTTACTTCCAGGACCGATTTGATGACTCCAAGCTGCCGTTTATTGTGGAGGCAGAGCAAGAGGAGGATGCTGGACAGGACCTGGGCAGGATGCCCTTGCTCTCTGACTTGGGCGGTCCTTCATCTCAGCCTAATCTGAGTGTCATGTTAGGGGAGGAGTTTCGGCACCTTAGCATGCTACGTCTGTGCAAATCTCCCATTCAAAGCTCCCGGGTACAAAGCCCCTCTCCTCAGATGCCACCCCATGAGGATCTGTCTCCAGCTGCAGTTCCCGCCCCAAGAATAGACAAGAGCTTCTGCCACAGACCAGCCAAACTGCTCATTCCCACCCTGAATTGTGTCAGCCCACTGGACCTGAGCCCCCGGTGAGAAGAAACTAGAATTCGTTATTACTTTTTATTATTTAATTTTGTACAATTATTTTTGACATAACGTCTAGAACGAGGAAACATCCATATACAAATATTATTGATGCTTAGAGCAGATACAGTAATATTGATTACTGATGCACTAATATCCTCTTGTCTGTCCTGTAGTGTTGTCGATGGCATTGAGGATAACGAACATGCTTTTCACTTCAATGTTGAGCACAGTGAGCCATCTCCTAACACAGAGGTCAAAGGTGAGGTGGATTATCCCTTAATATTAGACTAGTGCATATTATGGTTTAGATCAGTGGTTCTCAACCTTTTTTACTCCAAGACCCCTCACTGTTCATATTTTAGGGTTTGACATAACTAGAAAAGAATTTGTCGAGGCCAGCTGATTGAGAACTATTGGTTTAGATTTACTGTTGAAATGCTTTTGTATAAAACACTGTGTAAGTTTTTAGACTAATAATGATAATTCGGTCATATTTTGTTATTAAATTATATTAATGAAATTAAACTTTTCAGTCCCTACAGGATTTTGTAATCTTGCAACTGCAAATAGGGTAAAAAGAATGTAATATCAGCCAATCAAAATCCATAAATCCCACACCAATCAAACAGACCCTTTCACTAAATGTCAACACGCTGTTCACATGTCTTCACTGTACTATTACGTGATTAATAGGCAATGGCATTGCAACTGACAACCTGTAAGGTCATCATGGTCACACTTTAAATAGTGTTCTATTATTGAATAAAGGTCAAAAATGGTTTGGCCATTACCCAAATGTTCCTTTGCATGTAAACACCTTTATTGGCATTCTGGCAGCTTGTTCAGCGTGCACATTACTTTCGACAGTTATCGGTGTTTTGATGTACATGTACAGTAAACACACTCATTATGTACATTTAGGTCTCTGTTAATTGTACTTCTATTGTCACTGACAAATACAAATACATAATTGTTATTGGTTCACTTTCACTGCAAAAAAAAAAAAA